AATTCAACCCTTTATCTGGCAAAGCCGTTGTCATATATGGACTCACCATGATCCGAGGGTTTTCCTCCCAGGGAATCAGTTAATGGAACAGGGAAATCAAAGGAACTATCAGAAAAAAAACATTACTGTTATTTTCGTCTGTTTAAATACTTACATTTCCAAAGAAATTTGTGAAGAAAAAATTGTCAGATGAATTTTTGGAGGAACCGAAAAAGCGTAAGTACTTGTTTTCCCAACACGTTTTGTGCTAGAGATTTGTGCTTGTCGCGCACATTGGCTATCTATGTCTTTTTGAGGGTTCAATCTGTGAGTAAACTGTGCACCGAATTTGATCAACCCAGAGATTGTTTCAGGGTTCCATCTGTAATACAAATTTAGTCTGACTTAGGTCAGCCCAGAGATTATTTCGGGGTTCAATCTGTGAGTTAGCCGTACCCTGTCTTTGATTAGCCCAGAGGTTGTTTTAGGGTTCAATCTGCGTGTTAGCCGTACCCTGCCACTTAGACCAGCCCAGAGGTTGTTTCAGGGTTCGATCTGTGAGTTAGCCATGCCCTGACTTAGATCAGCCTAGAGGTTGTTTCAGGGTTTAATCTGTGAGTAAGCCGTGCCCTGCCACTTAGACCAGCCCAGAGGTTGTTTCAGGGTTCAAATTGTGCCCTGTCTTTGAAATTGTCATATTGGATCTTTTCGAGTCTTATATCATAAATAGGTGGTTTATAGGCAAACCTGAACTTGAGATTCATTTTAATTATGAACAGCACCCTAATGAGTGCTATGTGCTTTTTGTAAAATATAATTGATGTCCAGGAAGACTATAATTTACAATTTGACGCACTTATGTAATCAGTACCATGCTTTGTTGAAAGATATTATATAAATTATGTCTTCATAGAAAAGCTATAATTTTAACAAGCACCATGTTTTGTTGGAAAGTATTAATGGTGTCCAGGAAGACTTTCAGTATAGCTTTAGAGTATGTTTTTGTTTGATAGGAGTATAGATTTAATGTATAAGTATAGCTTTAGGGCATGTTCGTGTTTGATAGGGGGAAAAAGAACTTGCAATTTGATGCAATTATAATCAGTACCATGTTTTGTTGGAAAATGTAAATGATGTCCAGGAAAACCTCTAGTCTATTAAACTACTGTCAAGTTATTTTAGAAAGTACCCACGTCCAAGAAGACCTCTAGTATAGCTGCAGGGCAAAGATGTAACCAGATACGCGTACTGGTGAATATATTTTTCATCTGGTCGTCAAACAACATCAAAAACAAAAAACAAAAAAAACATCGATTTGCAGTTCAAACGTTTCTTAAAAAATGATTAATATAATGTTGATTTTGAAGACTTGAGTTTAAACATCACACCCAACCAAGATAGAGGATACAAAAATGTTTGAAACGATTGTCTTCACAGTAATTTCCAGGAAGCTTAGAGGGAGTGCCCCACGTACAATGGTTAATGCTTGCTGGACAATCAATTTAAACTTCGTAGCCAGTTGGTTTCTTAATTAAGACAAGAATTTACTCAACCTTATGAGTCTTACTTATTTAGTACGTTTCCCTTAAGTCCTTCCAAACAATACCTAATCTTAATTATCTGTAGACCCAACTTTTGTACTACTTGTTCCTTGTAAGAACAACCAGCCCGAATCCCATCCAAACAAGACTGTAATAAGACTTCAGTAGTGATTTGAGTGGCATGCATATACTTTACTAACATGTTTATTTGAGTAACACTGAGATCGCGTGCAGTCGGCTCTTAAACGAATATATTCTCATAATGGCTTAAACCATAAACAATGCTTTATCAATAATTAAATGTACTTTTTACCGGTAACTCGTATCATATATGAAAGAGAATCGACTTTTGTTAAAACTGTCGCCAGCTTTGTCCTATTAAAGTCCACGACTTGGATTTTATGAGGATTTATAGACGTATCAAAATATGCTTAAGGCGTATATCTTCATCCATTATGTGGTTATTGTTCAAGTTCAAAATGATTTAAGGTTTTGTCCACCATCCATCCATCCATCCATCAACTTTTCCTTCCTTCCTTCCACACAACCATTCATTTAATCCCATTCACTCAATCAGTTACCTATTCACTCATTCATCCATTCCAATTTTCTCACCTATCCATCCAATCCCATCCTCTCCATCTATTTTTATTTTTTTGTTCCATTTTCTGTTTATTTCGTTCCAGTTTTTTATCTTTGTTTTTCCTCCATCTGTCTAGATTTATCTGTCTTTTTCCTCCTTTTCCTCTTTCAACTTTTTAACTTTTCATTAGTCTATCTATTTTTTAATAAAGAAAAGAACATCTTTCATAGCAAATCTTCCACCATCTAATTTGAATGATGGAAGAATGACGTAACCAGGAAAAGCTTCATTAGATAACGGTTTTATGTTTATATCAAGTGAATAACGCCTTCAAAATGACGCCCACAACCATATTGATTCTATAAAACAGGGCCAAGGTCTACCAACCTGAAACTATAATAATCAACGAGATGAAATACGATTTAAAATGTCCGCTACAAGTGCTTTTTAGTCTATCTGGATATAAAGGTATTATAAATCGTTTTTAACTTGCCATCCAGCACATTTTCCCATACAAATTAGTCCTCATAAAATAGCCCATTTTATATTTTGGTTTTTTTTTCTCATAAAGTCAACAATATGAGCTAAAACTATTCCTTCTTACTAACATCAAGGTGCTCTTTTCATTTCTGAGGTTCATTTTGACACAATTTCTCTCTTTTAGGGGGGTAGAGTCACGTGACCCACTGTTGCAAAAGGCCCATTCAGGCCCATTAATAATCCATTGTTTAACATTTCAGGCCACATGATATTAGTAACTTCATTTTATACACCTTCTTTACTCCTGTCGTTTCTACAACTTTAAACAACTTTGCATCACACTAATAATAAATTCCTGCTAATATTCAAGAAACATTACCGTGTTATGTAGTAGGCTTCAGATAATACCTTGCTGTTAATACATCCGCATAGAGAATCATCCCATTTTACCGCCACCCACGAGGAAATAGGTGCAGATTAATCGTGCCCTGGCCAACAATAACGTACTAGACTTTTGGGTAAAGTGATTATGACGAAAGATAAATTAGCTTGCATTTGTGGTTTGGAAAAGAGAATCGCCGAACTTGTTATTATTTATACATTTTACAGGATATCTTAACGTTAACTGTGTAAGTGTACATTAAAACCTTTTCTTGTATCTGCTTTTTTATCTCTTATTTGCTCAGACTTGTAACTACAACAGTCCTCAAACTCACAGTTTTCTATTTGTCCTTGAAGGCAACTTTACTCACCCTCGCACAGAAATCAAGTGCAAGGAATTCTCACTCAGTAAGGATGGATTTCATACCAGTTACAAAACATTCGATTCCAACTGATTAAGCTATTTACATACYCTCTCACAAAAAGACAAATACATATAGTGCAAAGCATTCTCACTCAGTAAAGATCGATTTAATACCAATATTACAAAACTTTCAATGCAAAACTTGTAAGAATATGACTTGATTTTATCACTAAATTTTAGCTCTAGAAAGGTCATAATGAACGTGGTTTCTTAATGTGCAACTTCGCGCAAAATAGAGTTGGTGGTGTGAGTTGAAGAGGGCTATGAATAAGCTACGTTTGAGGCTTTGCTTATTACAAGCGTTTTCATATCTTCAATGATCATAATCAGTTTTGTATAAGACAATAGAAGACATAATACAAGTTGCTAGATTTGATCAAGGAATCTTCTTTCTATTTCAAGATGCATAAATTATAATAATTTTATTTCTAGATAATTGGCTAACCAAAACTACAAACCAACTATAAGGTGGTGTGCTAAGATAGTCTAGAAATTTCAAGTTGCTTCTGTGTTTTACACAGATGTCTTAAAGATTTCCACAGTTACAACCGCAAAATCTCAGTTATAGCAGAATATATCTGTAGATCTTAGTTTAAATAACTTTAAATGCATGATATTTGACAGGCTTAACCGATAGAAATCATTAGACACAAGGGTTTTGTTGGCTTTACTGTGCTTAAGCCAATGAGCTTCAAGAGCTTCAACATTGGTGGTCACTTTCCTATGACAGTCTCAACCAGATTTTTCTTTTTAAGATTTCTTGATAAATAAAAGTTGGTTTATCGTGAAAACATCGAGATTGTGGGCGCTTTTATCGCGCGTTTGAATACGAGACCACTGTGAAGGTTTACATGTATGTCAGAATGAATCTGACAACTCTCAAGTGACAGGCACGTTTTGTAGTACACCACGTAAATTTGTCTAATTGGCAAAAAACTTTGAAAATAAATACGTTGACTTTGAGGCTTTGTCTTTAGTTCAAATTTAATAAAAAAATTTAAGAGGAAAAACATTGAGGAATATAGCAAAGCATGTATAAAGATAGCAATTGACAGATTCGGGTTTTTTTTCCAATAAAGGAACCGAAACTTCGTAACCAAATGTTTGACAATGCGTCTGTGATATATCCTGTTTGCAGGGTACCAGGTAAGGTAGATACTTCATATATGTGATCAGTCCTATACAATTTTCATCACAAAACCAAAGGCATTGCATAATGTACCATAAATAAATACTCCCCAATGCATCATGTATGAAGTATTTACCCCACAGGTATTCAATTAGCCTCATTCACCGGCTGATTCACCGCCGAAGTATAAAGAAAGCGCGCACTCAATCACCTTGATTTTGCAAGCTTTATATCCAATTTCCGTGGCTTGATCCGCGTGAGTAGAAAATTCTCATGGGAAGTAACTTGTCATCTTTGTGCAAAACATCAGCAATTATTCAGCTCGTGCAACTAATACCGAAATAGCCAACATTACCGGATTTGAACCCGGCCTATTTAGGGAGTTGTTTGTGACACTCTCACGTTAACCATTACCTCGAGTCTTCCGGATTCTCATCGAAGCCTACTGAGTCAAGGAATTTCTTTTCTTTTCTTTTCTTTCAGTTTGGACGAAGCGCGGCTGTAACTCACGTCAAAGATCGAAAATCAACACCAGTTTGTTCTCGTGCGGGAATCATCACGCTCAAAGGTAGATCTCCTTCACTTTTCTTTTTCATTCATTTACTTCTAATTGAAACGTTACCCTCATTTTCTAATATGTTTAGAAATTTTGCCGTGCGATTCGGGTTCCATTTGCCAATGCACTTACGCATTTTCCTTTAATAAAATTGTCTAGCGGATTTAAGACACTTTTGCTTCTTAATGCTAGGGTTTAGTGTACTTAACATTAGGGAATCCTTCCATCGCGCTGTACTTATCCAGCTAATTTTCTTATACAACGTTATTGCAGCGAGGAAGCTATTACTGTAGAAAATGATATTAGTGAAATAATTGAATTACAAAAAGGGCGCGAATTTAGCTTTCCTTGTATATATTTGCTCTCTTTCCATAATGCGTTAAGGTTATTTTCCTTTATGTTTTTTTGTTTATCCTATTCAGTATTCAAGGTTCTTTAATAATAATACTCGCCCTTGTACGATTGGATTCTATGGTTTCGAGTCGTTAGCAAATCACTTCATATATCGTGACATGGCGCAATTACCACACCATAGTGAGCCCAATATACATTTATCTTAGTAATTCACTAGCCTTACACATACAAAACTACTCTGCCAAAATAGCACTTCTTTGAGACATAACAGGCGGATTTATAAACTTCAGATTGTCGCACTTGAGGAATAATCGCTAATTTAATGCAGATACTGCCGAAGGGCATTCCTGTTAGGGATGTAACTGTTGTTTGTTAAAAAAATAAAAGTGTGGTTTCCTACAGTTAATCAGCCTCGAGGCAAGTGTGTCAGTCCATTCCATGTACACCCAGTATCGCTGTGTTATGCCTATTCACAGTTCAAATACGATGTGTTTTTTTTTTTACTATTAGTTAAAGTGTCTTTTTGACTCGTATATCGGACCGGTGAACAGTCATGATTCATAGACCTATCGTTATGTGGACAATAGATAATTAGGTCGCTTTCTTTGATCTCATCGTGTCAGGTTAATGAAAACCTGAAGAACCGGAACTCCACATCAAAACTGTGAATGGAAAAAAAAGACTTTTTTGCTTTTTCGTGAAGTACTTTCTATTTATTATTCCAAATAAAAAAGTCCTTGGACTTAAAACAAATTACATCTTCTTCGATTGTTATCTGTATATATGTCTTGCCGTCCATTGAATCTCAGGCACCGCAGTGCTCCCGTAACACGTGACTGGCACATGACACGAAGAGACGCGGATTGATTTGCCACATAAGTATAATCTATGTATTTACTTGACATTTTGATATGAGCAGGCTATACATATATTCTGCTTCCATTTCCTGAATGACCTGCTAACCGGGTCATCTTGGTGCCAGGGCTGCTACAAAACGAACTGTTATGAAACATTCACTAGCCTAGGTCATATATAAAAACAAACTAAACCCACATATATACATCCTGTTTTCATTAACATCCATTCCACTTAGACCTCTATAAATTTGAGCAACATGACTAGTTCAATCCTAAATACTCGTTAAGAAGCACGAAAATAGCCTTTGATTGGTTGTTGAACGGTTCTCACTAAAGCTTGTGAACGGATACGCCCTCGATTGAAAAGAACGAAACGAGCTTAGCGTTGATAAATACAGGAATCACGCAATTTGAGGTAAGCTTCTCAGACAAGACAACACACGGTATACTAAAAAAATAATTATTAGTAATTGGTTTTGGTGTTTTCGTTTCTCATTTTTTAATGAAATAAAATAGGAAAAATTCATACAAACTTTCCGTCGATTCTTTCCGTTGAGATAATCTCTGCTGGTAGGGGAAAGAAGTGTTAAAGCTAAGAATAGGTGATAACGGGATGTCAGGGAAGATAGTCCTTTAAAGTCTGATGAATTATCAATCTTATGGAAGCTACTTTTGATCTTGTTTAAAAACTAAATTTGCGATTTTTCTATGCAAAAAAACAGGTGTTTCTCTGATCATCAATTAGTTTTAGCAGAAGTTGGAATTTTATTATTAATTTAATCTTAGAGGACAGTTTATCATGAGCGAGGAAACAAAGGACTCGTAAATCGCAATGAGAGGAAGATCAAGTCGATGAATAACATCGAGAGAATAATCTAGGAAAGACTAGCAATGAAAAAGCTGGACAATTTGCATGTTAATCACAATGAGTGTGCGTAGAAGATGTACGACTTGTTATCAGTAGAAGTGCTTGTTAACGGCCACTTATGATGACAGGAAAAATTATTCTTGAGAACAAAAATAGATCTTGAGAGAAAGAGACATGATGGCGTCTCCTTCAAAGATTGAGTTTATCGTAATAAAAATTAACAATTTTATTTTACATGAGGCACTATTTAGATAATATCACCTGTCTTGAGATTTCGAACTACGTGTTAATTGATCTGCAATTTCAAACTCATTAACTTGATGACTTTGTGAAAGAATCGTCAATTTTTAAAGATAAAATCACGCATGACAATTTTAGCTATTCTGGTTTTTGACATTTTGAATTCAATTTTTTTTCCCTGGAAATTTTAGTGTTATTTTTGAATTATATTCCTGTGCTAAATTTAATGAAATTATTTTCATTATGCGATTCAATTATTTTGTGGTGCATTTTCTCCTAATTTTACCCAGGGTGCCAAAAATATATTAAAAAATAATATAAATAATAACAACGAAAATTGCTTCATTATTTCTAAATTACTGGTCGAGAACATTACAAAATAATAAGTCTGTATTACAGATATGTATGAACTTTTTCTTCCATTCGTGGATAAACTAGACAAGATTTTTGAAATAAAAATGGTAATGTAAAGAGTTCTCTTTACTAATCGTTCCACTAAACCCGTGCTAAAAAAAGAAGTCACGCTGTTATGCGGATTTTAAATGACTTGAGAAGTTAAACAATAAGTCCCATTCATATTAGGTTAAAGCAAGTAATATCAACACCTTGGACTTAATGGAGTAGGATAAATTAAGTTTGTCCATACGTAACTTTAACATCTTTGTCAATATTGGGAAACACAAGTCGCAACAAAGATATTTTGGAATATAGAAATGTTGATGAATCAGCAAAATTGTAACTTAGTTAAAAGTGAAAAACTTTAGGAGTTGAAGGAGTCGTGCGAGGAATCATACTATCAGTTAGTACGTGCTCTGCTCGGTATTGAATGAACAGATATTATAACACTACAGGAAACTCGAGTATATTGCTAGCTTATACACTTAACATACTTATTCTAGGTGGCTCTTTACTAGAGCTATTAGAAGCAGTACGTTATAGTTCGTTCAAGGATTCACTACTCGAAGAATTGAGCCTTTATATAAAAGCAACTAACTGTAGCAGGTAAATTGTAACAAAACTTTTTAGTCCAAAAATCTTAGTCAACGTTTTATCTGGGTTTTTTTTTTTTTGTTTGTTTGTTTTTTTATTTTTTTACATTATTACCTAGTTGGTGTGGTTAAACGCGGGAATAGTCATTAGAAATTTTGTTCCTCCCAGGTATATTTACAAATTTTATTAGCCAAGCATTCGCACAATTAGTGCAAGGGCATTTTGCGCGAAAGCTCGGCTAATAAAATTTGTATATGTACTTGGAAGAAACATAATTTTCTAATCATTTGAAAGTTGTATATACACCCTTTTCTCCACGCAAAAACAGCACGTCGTACTAGACTCACTAACTGGAAGTTAATCTGCAAGGGCTGTATGAAGTTGCTTTGTATTTACCACTCAATACGTTTTGTAAGTGCTTCTTTCTTACAAAGGACATAATGCTGTAGTGTGTCGTTTAAACTGCATCTCAGTTCGTGCTTAGCCAAGGATACTGATTTATCGTATTAGTACCGAATTGGTTATATTTGCCCATGTAATCTTGGGTGCCTAAAGATTTTTACACTGTACAATTCTCAGTTGCTCGATCTTCCCAGATAGTGGCCTGAGTCACTGATGCACTTATGCTTGCGCGCAACTAAGGCTCTAAGTAACTTGCAGTTGATATAGGGGATTTTTAAAACACTCGACACTTTGTACAGATGGCCTGTTTTCGAACAATCTCGCATCGTTGTGACCTCTGTTCAGTTTACCCAGTATCAAGAGTCTTAATAGGTGTTGCTATCGACCCCGTAAAACAGATCTCCCACGACCACGGATTGTCTGTCTCAGTCAGTATACAACAGCATAGATTCTACCTTGTTTCCTTGTTTTGGATACAAAATTAATAAGTCGTGCCTTTAGGTTTGATGCAATTTGCTCGTTCATGGTTTATTACCTGACGACGCTCGCTACTTTCTTGTATAGACGATTCATAAATATATTCAAGAAAAGAGAGTTTTAAGTCAGTAATTAAGCACGAGAAGAAAGAAAGAAAAGAAAGATAGACAATGAAAAGGGAAGACGGAGAAAGAGAGAGAGGGGGGGAACAGAGAAGAACAGAGAAGAAGAGAAGAACAG